AGACCCTCTTTTTTTTTTTTTTTTTTTTTAATTAGTGATGTCATGGATTTGGGTGTGGTTGGTTTCTTTGCCACATGCCATTTTTCTCCTGTAGTTTTTCCATCCTTGTTTTACTAAATTGAGCTCTGTGCGTGAGAGGAACAGAAGATTTCCTTGGAGAATGTGTGCATTGAGTAATCCTTTCGTTTCAGACATCAGCCACTATGGCTGTGTTAAAAGGCATCCTGGTGGATACTGGATACTCCTGTAGGAATGGTCTTTGTAAGAAATGGTCATACTCTGACCCAGCAAATGGAATTTGTTATTTCAAATTTAATTTTGGTTTGCTCATGTTTAGAAAGCAATTATCTTGTACTGTTAAGCATGAATATGATTAAAACATGTAAATATATAGAAAGAGAAAGACAGAGGGCTGTTCTTTTGTTCCACATCTGGTATAGACTCCCAGCAAAGTTTCCTGTCAAAGAGTTCAGGGATACGGGATCTGATGATTGCTTCTTCTGTCAATGACATGATTTAGTGAAGGAAGGAATAGTCCTATCAAGGAACTCTGAGTTCTGATCACATTGCATACATGTGCCTCAGTTTCCCCAAATAAAAATATTTAGTATTCATATGGAATATATATTCAGCTATGTGAAACATTTCAAAATCTCCAGCACAAATGCTAAATATGTGACAGTATAGGTATGATATCTTTCTACATTAGTAGAAATTAAAATGGTGGTGATGGTTGATGAAGGAGTCTTATGAATTGCTCTCCAGTTGTCCTTTTTTTTTTGTTTTCTTCCTTGCTATTTGACTAAATCTGCAGCTAAAATGACTTCATTCTTTATTTACAGGTTACTTTAGGTGGAACCTTTATTGGAATTGGGCGGAAAACTCCAGATTGCCAAGGCAACACCAAGTACTTCCGCTGCAAATTCTGCAATTTCACCTACATGGGCAACTCCTCCACTGAACTAGAGCAACACTTCTTACAGACTCACCCAAACAAAATGAAAGCAGCCCTTCCCTCCTCTGATTCTGGTAAAACTTCAGAGAAAAACTCCAATAAATCCAGTCCTACTCTTCGACCATGTGATTCTGGAGACTTGGGGAAGTGGCAAGACAGAATCACTGTAAAAGCAGGAGATGATACACCAGTTGGATATTCGGTGCCCATCAAGCCAATAGATTCCTCTAGACAAAATGGTACCGATACAACCAGTTACTACTGGTGTAAATTTTGCAGTTTCAGCTGTGAATCGTCCAGCTCACTGAAACTATTAGAACATTACAGCAAACAGCATGGGGGAAGCCAGGCAGGAAGCCTTCACCCAGATCTGAATGATAAGCTTTCTAGGGGATCTGTCATTAACCAGAATGATCTAGCCAAAAATGCAGATGGGGAGTTAGTGACAAAGACAGAAAAGGGTGCGAGTGTGGCAAAAAAGAAAGACTTGACTAGCAAAGGAGCAGAGGACAGCATGGTGACAAGCTACAACTGTCAGTTCTGTGACTTTAGGTACTCAAAGAGCCATGGCCCAGATGTAATAGTGGTGGGCCCACTTCTCCGTCACTATCAGCAGCTACACAACATTCATAAATGTACCATTAAGCACTGTCAGTTCTGTCCCCGAGGCCTCTGCAGCCCAGAAAAGCACCTTGGAGAAATTACTTATCCATTTGCTTGCAGAAAAAGTAATTGTTCCCACTGTGCTCTCTTGCTTTTGCACCTGTCTCCAGGGGTGACAGGAAGCTCTAGAGTCAAACACCAGTGCCATCAGTGCTCATTCTCCACTCCCGACGTGGATGTTCTCCTGCTCCACTATGAGAATGCACATGAAGCCCAAGCGTCTGATGTCAAACCAGAAACAAACGCCCTACCAGGGGCAGAGGGGCCGCTGACGCTCAAGGAGAACAAAGAACACTCATGCACCAAATGTGACTTTACCACCCAGGTGGAAGAAGAGATTTCCCGACACTACAGGTACAGTGAAGTTTGGAATGATTAGTGATAGGAACCCAAACAAACAGCCCTCCCTTAGTTCCTTAATTAAATGTCACTGTTCCCCAAACATTTGAGGAAACTGGAAATCAAAATAGGAATGCGTATAGATATAAATCTTTACAGCCAGGGTCTAATCCAACATCCACTTTGTTTTGGAAAATCACCAGCTAAGTTGGTGGATTTAATTATACATTTAAACCTGTGCAAAGAAGAGGCAGATTTGGATTTGTGTGCACACGCTGGAGTTCCAGCATATTTGAGGTTTGGTCAGCTATTTTCCACTGAGAATCTTTTAGGTACTATTTTAGTTTAGGCTTTTTACCAAAAAGCTGGCATCTTCATTCAGTAGGGGAACACAAATGCCTTTACTTTCCAAGATAGACTATGAATCCTTTCATGCTCCGTAACAGTGCTTCAATGTACTACCTTTTTGTAGTATTTTCCATTCCCAAGTCCAGCAACGCAATAATTACTTTAAGAGCATTCCACTGCTGTTTTGGTGTTGGTTTCACACTGGGAGCAGACACTCTTTTGTCTGTTGATGTCATCCCCCAAGATCCTTTTGCAGATGCTTATTTTTGTGTTGCTGGTTTACAGTGTCGTTCTATTTAGTTTAAATGCTAATGTTCCTATTTGGAGGTGGATGCAGCCAGTCTCCTGACTCAGTCTGACACAATGTCATAGTGGCAGCCAACTCCCTGCTAAACTTCTTGGGTCAGTTCCTGGGCTGTTGTAAACTGGCAGTCCAGTTGACATCAGAGGAGGAGCTGGCTCTTAGGCTTTGTAAAGAGCAACAGTTATGTGCTGCTGCAAAAGCGATGTTAAATATTAGAAAATCATGCTGAATATGTTAATAGTTAAGGCTAATGCGTCAACAACGACGGAAAACTCAGTATCTATCTCATCTAAAAGATCTTTGCATGGAAGCCAGCTAGAATGAAGACAAAAGAAGATGCATTTTCAAAGCTAAAGCTTTGTTAAAAGCTCAAGAAACTGTGCCACGTTTAATAGATTCCAAGACATCCAAAATTAACAAAGGCAGACTGGGGCATGATACTTTAATAGAGATTAAAGCTGGGGGCATCCAAATGTTGCCCAACAGAGGGCTGCATTGGCAATGTATCAGGAGTCTATTTAAAAAAAAAAAAAAGAAGGAGCAGATTGCTCATCTTTAATTTGGAGCTAGGGCCCACGGAGGATTCAGGTCCCAGCATGCAGTGCCCCATTTTTGATCCAAGTGGGCCTGAGGGATGTTGTGCGGATTAATTAGTTAATGTTTGTAAACTGCTTTGAAGATGAAAAGTGGTATCTAAGTTCCAAGCATTATTATAGCAGCTTTGAGCCATGCTGTAGAACTCCATAGGCAGCACTTTGTCCGCCGCTGGGGCATGGCAAGATCTTTTTTTAGTGGTTAAATGACTGGAAGATTGAAATGGCTCCTTGACTGAAAAAAATACTTTTATTTTGCTGCAGCTGGTAATTTAAGTTTTAACAAGCATGCCTAGTTAAAAGCCTTTTTCCCAAGGAAAGGAGAAGCCATGACTTTCAAAAGTAAGTGCTAAGTCTGAGGTGGGGTACCAGTAGCTTCTCCTTTGGAGGGCTCAGCACCCTGCGGCTCTGGCAGTTGTCAGAGGGAACTGCACTTTGGAAAATCAAGAGATACACTTAAGCATTCAAATCTCAACTTGTTTGTCTAAAATTAGCCTATTCTGTTTAAGACACTCAAACAATATATTTTGTCAAGCCTTCCGTCTATGGCATTATTGAGTACTCTGAGGATGTTGTGTAATTAAGGCAAACTACAACATCCCCATAACTGCCAACTTCTTTCCCTTTCCCCTGCCTTCCCCTCTTTTTAATTTGAGTTTTGTTTCTTTTCTACGTGTGCTGCTGCTGGTTTCCCCCACTGTGCATCTTCTTTGAAATCACAGAAGTTAGTTCAGTTTGTGGTAGGTGCTCTGTAATAGCAAACACCAGCAGGTTTTATTGCTTTTCTATGCATAACCTAGTTTTCACTCTATCAAGCTAAAATGGAAAGAAGGACTTTTGGGGCATTATAGCTTCTATTTTTATTATTATCAGGCCTTTTCTTTTTTATATAGAATTTTTGCATGTATTGGATATGTATTTTCTTTCCCTTTTTGTATTTTATGAACTAAAGGTATGGAATAGTTCAGATTTTAAAGAGTGGAACATCCATAAAATAGTAGTGTTTAGTAGAAACATGCTGATGTGGAGTCAGCTCACATCCTCGCTGGCCTTCTCTGTGGCTTCATCAGAGTTTATCTCAGTAAAGCCGTTATGCCACATATTATGTATTTCTGATGTATTTAAAATGCTGTACATGCACCTCTGTCTAAAACCTGTCCATTTGTATAATAGGGAGCTGAATGGATTCTAGTGGTAAACATTATACTAAGCATTAATGTGGTGACCAAGTATTTTGCTGTTCACATATTTAGGTTTACCCTTGATAATTTGTGAGTATTAGAGCTGGCTTTAGACGCTACTTACATGTTTTGGTTCGTGTATTTTTTGCCTGCGTTTTTGATTATTTTTGTTTTTGAGTCATACGCATGAACAGCATGCTTAATTTATTTTCTTTTTAATTTTTTTTCCTTTTGGCTCTACATTTACAATTTCACTACTCTGCTAGCTAAAACATTTTCTGTGTCCCAATACTATTCCTTTGCAGCCGTGTATTTGCAAAAGTATTAGAATTTGCAAAAGTAGTTCTTTCCAAGTTTTCTGTCTGCAGAAATGTATACTGACACTTAATGCTCATTCAGAATTTCTTGACATGATTATTTGAGAGCTGTTCAGTTAAATTTGAAGTTAATGAATCACATTGCACTTGAGTTTACTTGTATTTAAACCTCACTAAAATGTGCTTACTCAAATAAATCCCCAGAAGGTTTATTGGCCTCCATTTTCTAGTAATTCTGCTACTACACATTTTCCATTATACCTCTGAGGAATCAGGTACTCTTCATGTTCATTGTGAAGCTTAATTTTTCCTCAAAACTGTCTGGTATTCTGGTGAGCTAAAAGATGCCAACACTTGTAATTTAGATAAAAATCATAGTAAGTATTTGGGGAAATTTTGCATGTCAGATTACTTAGTCTAGACATTATTTTCCCGCCTCATCCAAAAGAATTAATTTTTAAATTTTCATTTTTTTCTTAAAAATGAAAGAGGCTCCTTGCAAAGTGGTTTGATTTTTAATTTTGCTAAAAGATGTGGGAAAACAATGCATTTGCTCGTTTTTGCAAAAATGATTCTTTTCATATAAATCTTTAATTGTCAAAAAAGACTTTGCTAGAAAGCATTTGATTGGTGCTAATAGTAGTTAAAAATCCTATGCTGAAAAATGCTCTAAACAACTTTAAAAAAAAAAAAAAAAAGATAGGGTAGCACTTCATTAAACAACTGCAAAATATAAAAAGAAAACAGAAAGACTCACAAATTAAATATAAGCCTTGGCAATGAGGTAGAATAATTTCTCTAATAAACAGAAATTACTTTGAAAACGTGGAGGACAACAGTTATGTAGGGTTCTCTTTTGAAGTTAATCTTGAATTAAATTAAATTTAACCTCTTAAAGGTAAATGGAGTAGAGGGGGGACTCGGGTTTTGCGCGTCAGGGATGGGGCGGTGGAGCTGCCTCTGCCCTCGCGCTGTCAGGCTGGAGCAGGGTGCAGAGAATGGAAATGCAGAGCCTTTGGGACAACTCCCCAGAGAAACCAACCGAGGGCAAAAGTGTAAATTGAGGCCCACCAGCTCCCGTTTTTTTCGGCAGAGCAGGAGCCTTCACTCATTGAACAATAGCAGCAGCTGCGAGGACCTTTTCCATCCTCCTGACACCTTAATTCACTGCTCTGAACTTGTTTGCTCTTGCCAATGGCTTTTGCTCTCCTTTCATCTCAGCCTTGCTCTCTGCTCTGCCCGTTTCCTCCCCTTTCTGCCCCTCCACTGAATTTTCTTCCTTGCTTTACTTGCTCTCTTTCCTTCTGAATATTTTCTGCTCCCCACAAGCCTGAGTGCAGCACTCATCCCAAAAGTAAACTTTCTTATAAGCCTGTTTCTTCATGAGAAATACTAGTAATCATTATATTCATAATGAAATTCAAAACATGCAAAAAAATGGAAGTGATACGACAGCCGTGCCTTCATCCAGCATATTTTCTATGCCCTAGAGCACAGGAATGTCTTCAGGTAGTTTAAAAAAAAATTTACTTGTTTTGTAGAGGACGGTGTTTTGTAATACTTCTAACTAGTCTGAAGTATGTCAACAAGGCTTAATTAGCAACTGGCTAGCTTGAAGAGTATCACAGCCTATTAGAAAGCTGAAGTAAAGAACATTAAATCTGTCAAAAAAACCCCATCTAATCTCTCCAACTTCAGGCTTTTGCAAGGAAAAATCCTTATATCTTATAGCACCCAATTCAAGTATATTTCTGTACAAAAAAATAATGGTAGGATTTTATTAAGTTGTCAGAATATAACACTGCAGCAAAGGTTTGGCCTGAATTCCTTGACATTTAATCTCAGGATTGGGGCATAAATATTTTAATGTCCATGAATAATCAGGTCTTTGATTTATTTTGTAGTGAAAATAATAATGCTAAGTGACATCAATGGATGGGATGACATTGGCATTCCAATGCCACGTTGAAGATAATGCCAGTTTATGTCTTGAACCTGCTTTTAGCTTGCTTGAGTGGTGTATGAGCAAGATGACAAAAGGGAGACTGCTGTTTCCTTCTTCATTTACATCACTGTCTTCCATACTGAGATTTTCCTCAGACATTGCCTTTGATCAGCTGTGCACCAGCACACGGTATTGCACCTGATGAGTTCAAAGTTTCAGAAGGTGTAACCGTGGTTTAGCTGTAAAGTACAAGTTTAGGTAATGCACAAGAGTGCTTATTGTGTACTTTGCAAATTGGAATTTTTAAAAATTTTCTTGCTTAGCTTTGAGGAGCTTTGTGCACAAATCTAGGTGTAACTTGGGCCTTTAGAAACATGGGGTAGTTTTAATTCTAGTATAAAAAGAAATCAAACATTGCCAACTTGTTTCCGTGATGCTATCAGGGTGGGGTGAAATCAGGCAGAGGTGAAAACATTTTCTTTGTATGCCTTGTTCTGGGAAAGAGGCTGAAAGTTTCCAGCTTTCAAAAGTTCTCCAATAGCTGATGATAGTTATTATTTTATTATTTGAGATTGTGACTTATACTGGAGAGTTCCAAACTTTAACTTACCTTTTAGAGCTTTAGAATAGTATATAGGAAAAACTCTTGCGAAGTAAAAAGATTTATAAAGTCAATGGCAGAGGTGACTTTTTCATACATACTAGAAAAGTGTATGTCCTAAAAAAAGTCTGTCGGGTTACTGCCCACCTAAGTCAGTCCTTAGATTTTCCACATCACAGTAACTATCACAGTTTCACAGAAAAACGAAGGAATGTTTGTATTACTCTCTTTGAATAAATTATAACTAATTTAAATGAACAAACCTTTAATGTAATAAAGGTGATGGTAGCTGGGCCTCAGCCATGTATTTACAACTGTGTCTAATATTCAGCATTTATTTGTAGCCTTAAAAGTGTGGTACCACTCCCGTGGTGTGTATCGCTCCTGATCAAAAACATTTAGCCAGCATGCAATGGGGGGGGGAGTGGGGGGAAAGACAAGTTAGGCAGAAAAAGATCAGCTGTTTGGAGGTGTGATATCTGTAGATGAGAGCCAAGTTAGGAAAAGGGGTTAGCTATTGAAATAGCCAAGTTAAACACGAGACACTTAGGGCTAAGTAGCCTCCCAAAGGATTGATAAACTTTCACATGGGGAGCGTATGTGGTTGAGCCATTATCCCCAAATGGTGTCTTGTTTAACTTGGCTTTTAAGATAACTAACCCCTGTCTAACTTGGACTTCCCTGATGGTATCCCACCTTTACAGGGCTGACCCTCCTTATAACTTGGCTTTTTTTTCTTTATAAAATGGTTTTGATCAGATAGCACCTCTCTCTCTCTCTCTTTTTTTTTTTTTTCCAGAAGAGAATTAAGCTCGGTTTAGAAAAGAATAAAGTTGCAAGAGAGAATATATTAGTGTTGCATTGAGAGACAAGCTGATTTTAATAAAACACAATTGTAGAATGAAGAAAAAGGAACACAGCCAGAACAGGATTTTAACCCACAGCTTGCTCTCCCACAAGTAGATTTTGTTGCCATAAGGCTATATGGAGAATAGCTGACCTTATTTTTTGCATAACTGAACGAGCCCATCTAGTCCCTTAAAATGAATATAAATACGGAAAATAACAAAAAGAAAACTGATATTGCACAAGGGCTAAAAAGCTTGAATCTGAATGTCTACTCATGTCTGCGTGCTGACACAACTGCAAGAAAATCAGACAATGTAAATAACATATGGTTTGTTTTTCCAACAAAAGGAAAGATGGAAGACAAGGGGGTTTAATAAGTTTGGCAAGTTGTCCCTTCTAAACTATCATACTCTAAAAGGGACATTTTGTGTATCATTCCAGTTCTACAGATGTACCGAGAGCCAAATCTTGCTCTTTCTGAAGTCAATGGGAGTTTTGCCATTGACTTCACTGAGACTAAGATTTGGCCTCGAAAGAATTAATTCTAACAACTGGAGTTGTCAGGGCAGTAACAGATTTCTCATACAAGTTTTGTCCTGTGTGGATAGCGAAACGCTCGTTTTTTTTGCTTGGCTAAAGATGCTGTTGTGACTCTGAATGCCTGGGGTGTGGATGTGTGAGTGTGTCTGTAGGGAGAAGCTTTTGCAGATTTATGTACATTTTGATGAAGGGCAGGGACGGGATTTCACTCTGCGTTGGTACGACGCCGGGCGCAGCGGGGCCTGGAGCCTGACGGAGGGCTCTGACCGCTCCTGTGCTATAAACAATTATTCATCATGGCGTTATAGAGCTCATAAACAGTGTTCTGTTCCTATGATGGATACAGTAAAGGGGTAACATGTTGTTCTCATGTAGCAACATATGCTTTACATAATTTAGTAATACAGTACTTCAGATAGGCTTTTAGAATAAAAACAGGAAGGCGTGTTATTCCACACTGCTCCACGGCTCATACCCAAGCATTTCTGTATTTGACAAGAAAACACAGCCAACTATTTTGCTTTTTCTTTAGAGAAAATCTTTTAAAGTTGTGTTGAAATGTCCATAGAGAACAAATAAGTACTGTCTGTTGTGTACAACCTTCTGTCCTTTGATATATTCTTATGCATAAGTTAACCAGAGCTCCTGTCATAATATATATAGTATATTAAATTGGTGTAAAGCAATTTTTTAAGCATTTGAACTTTCTAGCATAGGTTTATGTTATGCAAAATGTTTTTTATACAAAGAAAATTATCTTTTCCAAGTATTTGATTTTGTTTGAAAAAACGTATTGCTTCAGTGTTTCTACAACAGAAAGTGAAAAGTGTATGGCAGCAAACTGAAGAGAAAAAAACCCCACAAAGTCCCTGTGAAAATTATATGAATTTTAGAATAATGCAGTTGAGTGTGAATGACTAATAGGAGGCCATTTAGGGGCATAAGGGAAAAAAAACAGCAGGAATTTTCCCATATTGTCTAAGACACCAAAGTGAACCTGCTTGCTTTATTTAGAGGGAGTCGTACTGTAGGTTTGATTTATTTTCTTCATCTTGGTAGGTAGAACCACTGCGAGAGGGAAGGTCGAGGGGAGGCTCTCATGTTAGTACACTTCTCGTTTTTTTCCAGGAGAGTACACAACTGCTACAAATGCCGTCAGTGCAGCTTCACAGCTGTTGACACTCAGTCACTACTAGAGCACTTCAACACTGTGCACTGTCAGGAGATGGACGTCACTACAGCCAATGGAGAGGACAGTCATGGTGTTTCGTCTATCAAGGAAGAGCCAAAAATTGACCTCAAGGTCTACAGTCTGATTAATCCGGACCCCAAAATGGGGGAGCCCATATCTGACAGCATAGTGAAGAGGGAAAAGATAGAAGACAAGGAAGTGCTCAAGGAGAAAGGTTGGACTGACAGTCCCAGTGATGATCTTCGCAATGTGACCTGGAGAGGAACAGACATTTTGAGGGGGAGCCCGTCATACACGCAGACCAGTCTAGGCTTATTGACCCCAGTGTCTGTTGGCCAAGAGCAGTCAAAGCCTTTAAGGGATAGTCCAAACGTAGAAGCTGCCCATCTTGCACGGCCCATTTACGGCTTGGCGGTGGAGAGCAAGGGCTTCCTGCAGGGCGTTCCAGCCGGAGCAGCGGAGAAAGCCGGGCAGCTCACCCAGCCCTACCCTGCATCTGGGGACAGCAAGACAAAGGACGAATCCCAGTCCTTATTACGGGTAGGAAGATCTCTTTTTTATTTTTTCTTGCTTTTTTATGCTTACATGTATGTTATGTATAATTAAGCATGCAAATGATTTCTTCAGCTCCAGAGTAATGTGGTTGGTTTTTTTTTTCTTGCATGGAAAAAAAATAATAATCAAGGAAAGACTGAAAGGCTCAAACTTGTAGAGCTAAACCAGCACGTAAACGTTCCAGAGTGTTTGCATAAAACAATGTATATAGTGATGTAGTATTAGTAAGTAAGTGCTTCTGCTTTTGCTATTTAGCTCTGATTGAATTTTGTTTAATCATTCCTGCTAGCTGTTCAGGTCGGTGATGCATTTGAAGAAGGAAGGTTTAGAACCCCAGAAGGCTGCACATCTGTTACACTAAAACAACTAATCACCTCTTAAATTTTGTGGTGGTGTGACAGTTCACACTTAAGCGAGATTTCATATTATTAAATATCTAAGAATATGAAACCTGAGTGAAACATTAATAAAAAGTAACTTTATTTTTAATAAAGCAATATAATTATATATTAATTTTGACACTTGCCTGGTTGCCTTGGAAGCAAAAGAAAAAGGAAAAAAGAAAAGAAAGGGAAGGAGCTTGGGTGATAAGGAGAATACTTGTCACACCAAATAATTAATATTCTGTCTTTTTTTTAAACAAAAGAACCTATGTATAAGGAACATCCCTTTCCATCAAGGTATGCTTTTCCCACTGTAGGGAAATCTGAGGTTAGAAAAGCTCTGAAATTCTGAGGATCTAAGCAGGGAGACAAGTAAGTGCCTTTTTCCTGGAGTCATCGCTGTGTTTTCAGGGGCTGCTCCCTATCTGAACTTCTAGAAACTTGCTACTGGAGCGGTCAGTCTGCAGACAAACCTCAGTGCAATGAAAGTGATGATCAGCTATTTTTCTTTATTGTCTTTTATAAGAACATTTGTAACGATAACATCCAGTAGTGTAAAAAAGAACAACATAACAGAAGAAGACAAAAGACAAGATAAATGTTTTACTCTATGGTCTGCTAAGATTATACATAGGTATACCTGTCTCTGTTTACATATATAAGTCTTACAAGCTCTTTTTAATTTGTCAGTCATCTTAAAAATATTACTGTTATTCTAATTACTAAAGAATATGCCTGTCACTTAAAGACTGCATGCAATTTTGGGTCTATTGCGCCTTACAGGTCATGAGTAGTTACTGATGTCAAATTTTAAGTGTATGAGAAGCAGTTGCAGTACGACAGGTTCCCTCTTGCAGACGTGGGTGTGCAATCATTGTGAATGGCCGGGTTATATTTCTCTCCTCCATTTGGAAATACATATATAAAAATGTATACTTATATCTGGCTAGCAGCGGAATTCATGCTGTACATGTGATGTTGGTTGCATCCCACTTGAATTTTTGTAGTGATTCTTAGCAGTGCACAGACATATTGGCCAGAGGAGCCATTTACATTGTGGGTTATCAGAATACAAATATTGTTAATTTATTTTTTGACTCCTAACAAATGAAAAAAGCCAACTAAACAAAAATCTCCAAAGGCACCTGGTAATATGCAGAATCAGCTCTATAAAGGTCTAAATTTGGTTGGTAGCTGGAGCCTAAAATCTTAGTAAGTGGTAAAATAATACCATTATACTGCCAGTTTTAGCCACTGGTGAATGAAGAGGGGAAACTGTACACTGGCTGCTTCTTATGCCCTTCTTTAAAATAAATTAGTACAATCTTTAAAGCCTTTATCAAAAGCACTAATTTTTTTTTTTTTTCAAATCAGTATCTTTATAATTTTGGAAATATTTTGATCACTTCTGGATGATCTGAAATACGAATTCTCATGGTTTTCTGAAAAAAAAAAAGGTCTTATTTTTGTGTATTAGTAGGGTATATAAATTAGTTCCTTGCATTTTAAAATGTTGTGTACAACCCAACTTTTCTTTTATAAGGTTTATAAAAGGATTTATTAGTGGACTGGGTCTATACTGATTGGTGAAACCATATGACACCCTTCAAGGAGGAATTACTTTTGTGTATACTTTTAGCTGCCTCGCTCTTTGAAATCCATTGTGCCAAGGACTTGTTTGTCTGGGTCTTTTCCTAAGTAAATATATTTTAATTTTCAATTTTCTTCTTTGAAAATTGGGCACGTTGCCTTTGTCAGTTTGAAATATTTTTTTTAAAAAAGGAAGGAGGTTAACTTTCTACATCTGCTGAACAGAGCCCCTAACCATATATATTTCATCACTCCTGATGGATAGAGGAAAATAGTGAGAATTCAAACTTCTTAAGGTAAGGAGTGATCTGAAGGACAGGAGATCGTGGAATATGAAGGAGTGGGATTCCATGATTAATTCTTCCAATAAGGCGAATATTCCCTGTTCCCCCCAGATCTTTGAAAAAGATCATATAAACTGAACTCCTTTATTTTGCTCTTCGTTTAGTTTTGGGATGCAATACTGGAGCCAGGAAATAAGATGGCAAAGCGATAGTCAGCTTGACCAGTGGGATCTCTGTGTTGGGAATCAGTTCACATACGTATGTTATATGTGTGCGTGGAAGCTCATTTGGCCGAGACAGAGTAAGAAATTATTCAGAAAAGAACTTCCATTCTAGAAAAAGCTAATTTTTGTAATCCTCTGAAATATTAAAAAAAAAGCTACATATTGTTAAGCATACATATTGTCTCATGATTATCCACTTTTAAAAATAAATATTTTTCTAATGTGCAATAGCAAGTTGAAATAGCTAATGTTGTGCTAAAAGTTAGGCCTTTCTAAAAGCAAAGCGTTAAATCAGTACATACTTCTGATATCATATAATGAATGCTCATGCAAAATACTGTATCCCAGGACGACTGGTGACTAGGAAACAAAACCTGTAATAAAATCACTGTGGACACCTTCATTTTTTCCCCCAAAAGATTGACACAGAGGAAGCCAAAAATTTGGGATTACTCAGTGAATAAACACTGTGAGAAATGGGCTGAAAAAAAGTCTAACACATCCCTTTGGTTGTACTGGCTATTTACTATTTATAAAGTGGTTTTGCTTATTACAAATGATGTGTAATCATTCGACAGTGGCAGTAATACCATGTGCTTTTCATTTTTTAGTTCTCTCATGACTCGGGGGGAAGGGAAAGGGGAGATCATGTTTTTCACATTTTTTTTCCTATAGATAGAGGTTAATATTGCAAGTGGGTTTTCTAGATACTGAGTTTAAGAGTGATTAGCATTTTAATAAAATACCAAAGCCGATAGAGATCAACTGGGGAAGGGGTGAAAATCTACAGTTGCCCACAGAAATCCCTAATGGCTACAGGATAACTGTAAACTTTTTGAAATTACTTGGAGTGTTTTTCAGCTTTTTGTGTTGTGTAAGCCGTTTATGTGCTGCTTTCTTGCATTCCTTCCATGTGCGATGGATGTGTTCCCTCCCCAGTCTCTGTGCTACAGTAGATTATTCATGGGAGTCATTAGGGTAGGATTTCTTTCCTTTTTAGCAGCTAAAAGACCAAATGGCTCGTGACCTTTCGGGAGCTGGGGATGGTGCAGTAGTGATAGCTTGTACTCTGCGTGTGTGGAAACACACATGTGCAGTGGATGCACCTTTTTCCCCGAGAGCGCTTCCAAGCTGTGTGTATGTAACAGAATCTTTCTCAGGGGCTTGGTACACTTCTGTGAGTAGCTTTAATTTATTTTTCTTATTAAAATGTTTCCAGCAGCTGTACGTACAGCGAATCGGTGTTTTGCAAATGGGAATTACAAAAAATGTACCTCAGCAGGGTACAATGTAGACATTATTTCTGTTCTTCCTTTAGAGTAGCTGATTTTATAGTTTAAAGATTTGTTGATACTGGAAGGTCTATTGAGATGCAAAAATGTTCCTTTTTTTGGGTAGCACATTGGCAGCCAGCGGACTCCAGGCCAGGCAGATTGTTTAATGCTTTGACAACGCAGATCTTGGACAGCAGGAACTTTTAGCTAAACTGATTTTAAATGAAGTGTCCTGTTTTGGTGTGTGTGGACACTGCAGAACAAAGTTTTCCACAAAATTGGGAATCGCAGCCTGAGCCTTCAGACCTATACACAGAACCTTAGTTAGCTCACCTAAAGGTATGGGTAGATGCTGCTGCCTTGTGTCGTGGTTTACCCGATGCAGAACAGCACAGATCAGTGTGTCCTGTGGCACCGCATAGACCTGAAGACAACAGGGAGATGCCTGTGTGTTAATCATACTTGATGTAGCGGGGGGATTTGTGTACTGTCAGAGGGAGAGAGATTGTCAAATTATTGCAAAGGTACTGGTGATTTTTCGTAAAGGGAGACTGCAGGTTGTAACATTAAATTTCTAACTGAAGTTATATTAACCTTTGCTATGAGCTTTGCTATTATACAGGGGGAAAGGATAAAATCAGCTCTTCTATTAAATCAAGATTATTTTGCTCTATAGTGATTGGACTCTTTACACACAATAGGAAATCACAGCGTTTCGAGAAAGTTTCCATTTACTTTAAGAAGAGTTACTTTCTTTTTGTCTGTGATATTTACACTTTCAATGTTTCATATAGTGTTCTGTCTAGAGCTGGTTATAAGGCTTTAAATTTGGAGGAGAGAGGAAATCAGAAAAAGTTATTTCCCCTCTCCCTGTTTTGCATTCTCCTATGTGGTTGAGCTAATTTTAAAATAAGGAATAGAAATGTATGTATCAGTAAATATACATATAATTGATTTTATATCAATGTGGTAAATATCAGACACAACCCCTAGTGGTTAAACATTATTTCTCCTGTTAAAAAGTAGTGACTTCTGTTATCCACAGAGTTAGGTGCCAGATCCCTGCAAAGCAATGGAAATGCTGAACTGGCCTTTGTGATTTTCAATCTTTGGCTGTAAGGATAACATACCTTTAAGGTAAAACATGCCTCTGATTTTGGTAGAATTTACTGCTACTGCCTTTAGCCACTGAAAGATTCAAGCCCACAGAGTGGTATCTTGGTTTACACG